TAGGCAAACCGCGTGCGTGTGGTACAGTATAACTACAGAAGTGAGCGGGGTTAGTCAGCCACCTGGTAGGCAGGACTCGATCACACAAAAAAGCTCGTTTCAGGTGCATTGCACTACAATTGTACCATTGGACCTTGTCCTAAATCGCCCTTAACGTGATACCGAGCACCACTGGAACTTTAAATAATCGTCTTTTACCCATACGCCACGAGCAGATCATGCTGCCCTCGCCGGCCCCGGCCGCGGTCTCTGCAACAGGCGGTCACCTCGGGGTCAACAAACTGCTCCACATGGCCGAGGGGGCCAACACTTCGGTTCAGGATGTACACAGGATTACGCGATTCCAGGGATTACACGTGAATGTTATTGAATTTCTGGCTCCAAAACCGATTAATTTGGACAATAAGGTTAAATTGAGTGATAATGTTCTAAAATTTTGTCAAGCATTTCGCGGAATTCACGAGGATTACATAAGGATTACACTGTCGTCTGGACACAGGATTACGCGAGTGGTGGCCCCATATGGCGCGGACCGAGAAAAGTGTTTCGGCACTACGAGCAAACCATACAGTTATTGTGACCAAAACCGGCGTGCAGTCTGCGTTCTGATGTATAATCCGATGAGCACTGTAAAAAAATTGTGATGATAATGAGAATTTCATGGCTAATCATTTTACAACCAACTTCAACACGGATCCTCTCCCTCTACTCGCGGCGTGACAGGAGGCGGTGGTGGGCTTGATGAGATGTTTGTAAACGTATTTAGCCGTAACATACACGGAAAAAAAGAATTTGCTCCCACAACTAACGATTTTGTTAACATAGACATAACAAATAATTTTTAGTTGCAGGAACAAAGAAATTGCTATGGGAACCAAAATTCTGCTGCCACAACTAACGCGTCGCTATGGTCGGCTATGGTAACAAATGCAACTGTTCTGGTTACTAAACGAGGTTTTTTTCTTACAACAAACGCATTTGTTACCAGAGTCCCCTGAAGCTGACAACATTGCAATGTCAAAAAATTGTTCAAGATTTTTACATTAAAAAAAATTAAGGCCCGAATGTGGACGTTACACAACGCGACGCAACAATCACGACGCGTTAGTTGTGACAGCAGAATTTTGGTTCCCAGAGCAAATTCTTTGCTTCTGCAACTAAAATTGTTTGTTATGTCCATGTTAACTAAATCGTTAGTTGTGAGAGCAAATTCTTTTTTTCCGTGATTCTCGATTTTTATCACTGTTTTTTGCAGTGCGGTTTTATCCGATTTTATCGATATGATATGAGATGAGTAGAATCGATGAAATATGTATTATCAAACGCCTCATTATTGTGACTCAGGGGGCAGACTGAACACTGCTGAACACTTATCTTGTTAGGGGCTGTACCCAAACCACGTCACGCATTGTTGCCGTCTTTTAAGCCCTCCCCCCTCCCCCCCTTGTGATGCTCCGTGGTGTTTTCTGTTTTCACGACTCACCCCCCCCCCTTTTCACGTGGATTTTAGCATGTGTGTCATTCATTATAACAAAAAGTGCATTTTAATGTTGAAAGCTAAATTATGGCGGTGACTTTGCAATTGAGCACCGGCAGATTTCAGTGTTTTATCACGCATAAAAAACGGATTTTCGGTATTTTTACATATGCCTATTTAGGCAGGTAATCAATAGTCACGTGACTTAGCCCCCCCCCCCTCCTCCCACGTGGTTTCGGTACGGCCCCTTACAACAACCTAAGTATTTTTCTTCCTGCGTATTTGGCCGCGGTCGCGCGTAGAGTCAAGACCGATAACGTGGCCCTGCCCCGAGGGGCCCTGCCCTGACAATTATTATTTACAAAAGTGGAATTCATCCGGAAATTCATACCAGAATAACACCCGAATGAATGACACCTGAAACTCCTCCTAGCAAGCTTGTGTAAGAACCCCCTAGGGATGCAAAGTTCCATGAGGGTCATGCTGAGTTCAAACGCCGAATCGAAAGTCTCATTTCCTTTATCGCTCTCCCTGACCCAAACTGCGTGACTGCACCCCAACGGCTACGCCGAGGCTAACTGCTGATGCATCGGATTCCATCCAAAACAAAACGCTACATTATCGTCCGATTGCACCAATGTTTTCATTTTATATCAGGTCCGACCCGGACCGGACCTTGGTCATTGGCCTGCGATCAGCATGCTGCTATGAAAAGAGCTGCTGGGCTGGATGAGAAAGGCTGCTGCAAGACCGGCGTCCTTGTTTAAATCTACAATAAAACCTACTTGACCTTTTAACAAGTTGCAATTTTTGATATTCTATCGTATCATCCCCTCCGCCTCCCCCCTTTTAAACAGATTATACATTGACTAAACATAAAGAGTATATAAGTAACTTAAAGGTGTCAGCTAGCTTTCATGCTACCCTCGTTAAGGGAAGGAGCAGGGAAAGAGCACCACCAAGCGCTAGACCAGGAAACAATATTTGGGCCTTGCGGCTCCGCCGCCAAGTTTGGAAACAAGTCATATTATCTACCAGACCAGCATGGTGCGTGCTGCAGGACTAGAGCGTCGCACCCCCGAACACATTTTGACAGGATCAAGGGTTTTGTCGACCCAAAAGAGACATGGTGCCTTACGGGCAGAGGGAGTAGGCAAACCCTCCCCCACCTGTTATGTTGTACTACCGTGGCTGGCTGTGGTCAATTTTGTTCGGAGAGCAGTAGTAGGGAGAGAGAGAGAGGGGGCAGGGAGAGGGAGGGTTTGGGAGAGGGTCCTTACTCGGGGAAGAGGTCGCACACCAAACGGGCGTGGCAGTCGCATTGGGGCGGGGCCGGGGGGGGGGGGGCAGTCAGAGTACAAGATATACTGCGGGATAGAGAGTGAGGAGAGGGTCTCGAGTCACAGACACGCACACTAAGTACTCGCAGTGATGTCGTTGTTTGTGGTGGTGAGTGCTGGGTTAGAGTTTGGGGAGTACTTTTTACCCGGAGTTGTTATACCAGGTGGCTGATTAACCCCCCTCACTTCAGTAGTTGTACTGTACCGCACGCAGGAAGGCGGGCAGGCTCGCTAGCCTGTCGCCCCTGTGCACGGCGCCTTACCGGTGGAGCGAGTATAGGCAACCCGCCTACACTCGTGCGTGTGGTACAGTATAACTACAGAAGTGAGCGGGGTTAGTCAGCCACCTGGTAGACAGGACTCGATCACACAAAAAAGCTTGTTTCAGGTGCATTGCACCATTGCACTACAATTGTACGATTGGACCTTGTCCTAAATCGCCCTTAACGTGATACCGAGCACCACTGGAACTTTAAATAATCGTCTTTTACCCATACGGGAGGGTGGAAGGGAAGGCACACAAAACATGCTATGGGCGGTTGCTCTTTGATAAACATCAGTAAACATTAGTATATCCTTGCATATGCGTTTCTATAACTTTCCACGACCACCCCAATGTCTTTTATGTAATAAGAATGAGCGATCTTTGTCGTGCAGTCTATAGGGTATCTCATACCAGTAAGTGATCTCTTCCTCTTCAATACGCGCACGCATCGCAGTTTCGGAGGGCAGAAGGGGGTTGAATTAGTACCTCTCGGGGGGTCCGAAAAATTTGGTTATCTTCCGCATACGTTCATTAATTTCGGAGATGTGGGAAGTGGTAAATACGCTTCCAGTATTCGGAGATGTGGTAAGTGTTAAATACGCTTCTAGTAAAGTCTACGTTTAGAGGCTAAAACCAAAGTTTTAGTGAAGGCTGAAACCAAAACTCTCACTGCACTGAAAACAGACTTCTTGTTAGGTTTAGCAATCGTCGAGAATGTACGACCTTATTTCTCAGATTTGTTCGATAGCATTCGGCAAATTACGAGAGATCGGCTCCTGTAAGACTCAGGGTAGGCTACCCCGCAGAACATGCATGCAACAAAGGCAAGATGTTGCCTACCTACAAGGCGCTAGGTGACCTTGACGTCTCCCTTGCTTTTGAAATGTTTCATGTTGAGACCAAAGGTATAACTGCTGCTCCCCTTTCCGATTACTGTACTATGAGATATTGGTTGAAAATCAGCTTGACACTGTAAACCCAAGTGTGTACATTGTACACTCATCCTTGTTTGTACCGGGTGATTCAGAGAAGACGCAGGTGCGCGCGGGTTTGCCTATCCTCGACTCGGTGGGCGCACGGGTCCCCTCCTCACCTCTTCTCAGACCCGTGCGCCCGCCGAGTCGAGGATAGGCAAACCCGCCCGCACCTGCGTCTTCTCTGAATCACCCGGTACGGTGTACGCACTTGAAAGCACACACGATGTAGTGTGTGCCTGGCATAGCACACACTGGGAACTGTGTGGCTTGCCAGGCACACACTTCTTTGTGTGTGCTACGCCAGACACACACTTGCGTGTGTGTGCTTTCATGTACACACAAGGCAGAGTGTACTATGTACTGTAGACATTTCCTGTAGGTTTTTCAGTGATCGAATGGCACGACAGCAGATCGCTCGGGAGTTCGCCTGGTGGAAATAATATAGGGCACTCTCCGAAAAAGCAATTAGGGTCTGAGCTACTGATAAGCTTTCACTCTGCAGTTCAAATGTTGCCCCACACAAAAGCGGGCACAAAAAAAAAAATCGGGGCATCTCATCATACGATAAGAGGGTCAGCCTCGGTGGCTGGGCATTAAAACTGCCGCACCAGTGCGTTGGCGATCGGTGTGCTGATGGCAATTGAACGTTTCGCTTTGCGACGCTATGCGCAAATGCTGAACACGACAATGAACCCTTCACAGCCTGGGCTGGGGCAAGGGAGGCCACTGCCGCTAGATTGTGTTGTGGCGCAGCGTGGCGGGGGCGTGGCAGGACGTGGCGGGGCGTGGCGGGGCGTGGCGGGG